TGGCACTCTGCTGTAACCCTAAACCCTAAATCATGTCCTCCAGCGCCAGATCCAGATGCCTCTTAAACACTTCCAGGGATGGTGACTCCACTACCTTCCTCCTGGGCAACCTATTCCAGTGTCTGACCACCTTAACAGTGAAAATATTTTCCTAATATCTAGTCTGAATCTCCCCTGTTTCAACTTATTCTCCCCTGTTTCAGCTTATGGCCATTCCCTCCAGTCCTCTCACTGCTCTCCCTGCAGGCACGGCCGAAGAGACCATACCTCACCTCTCTACAGTCCCCTTTCAGGTAGTTGTAGAGAGCAATGAGCCACGTCTTCTCAAGGTGAAATAAACCCAACTCCCTCAGCCCTGCTGGGATGAGTTTCTGTCCTGTTCTTCCAGACACTCCACAGGGCTCCTCTACTCCTAAAATACATGACGAAGGACAGAGTGGGGAGGAGGAGGTGGCAGCAAGGGGCTTATTCTGTGCCTTGCAAGTTGGGCGTTTGCTTGGGATGTTGGAATCCTGGGTTAAATTTTTGAGCTCAGTTTGCAGAAGCAAGCTGCTTGTTTCCTGACCAGTGAAGCCCTTTGCTGTCATTCACAAGAGAAACTTAGGAATTAATTGACTAGGGCTTTGCTGTTCTGCAACTCATCGTACCTTTAATTTTGCAAAGCATCAAAAATAGAAGTGAGATATAGACTCAAAGAACCCAATCTGTTGTCAGATTTGGGTTTCAGTTCTGGTTTTATCAGCACATGACTGAACACAAGAACAATTTGAGATTAACGTGATCATGGAGCACGTGTAAAATTAATTTGCAATCCAAGTGAGGTTTTGGACAGAATTAGTTTTTCAGATGTGTGTAGTTGTAAGAATCCATAGCCAAATCTTCGTTTTAGTGGTTAATACTTTTTTTTTAGTGTTACTTTTTCAAGATATTTCTTGTAAGAATGAAACTTGTGAGTTGATAATTCATTTCTACTTTAATGAAAAAAAGTTTGTCTTAGAACCTACTGCAGAGCATATAGAATTTGAGAGTTTGGCAGTGTTTTTGAAGAACCGTTTTCCAATTAACTAAAAAATAAATATTAGGGATAATATTTTGTTTTAATATGAACAAAAAAAGTGGAATTTACATGCAGGTATACAGACCCAGGATAAATATATGTAGTACAGTAGTACAGTAACCTTAAGCATCCCTTATAGCAAAACAATATACCTGCTGAAAAAGTGAATTGAAGTGGTTTTAGATTACTTTGAGTGCACCAGTGATGAACATTTCTTACAGCACTCTCTGATAACTCTAATATAGAAAATTAAGAAGGTGAATAATGTCCTGTTGACAGCTAAATTTGTAACTGAAAAACAAGGAGATATTTTCAGACAAGAGTGGGAAGGCTCTGAACAGCACTAATTCTGCTGCAAAGGAAAGGAAGAAGGTAATAACTAATGTTAAAAGTCTTTGGAAGGTTATAAAGCAAGCTGTCCCAGTAGGAAGTTTGTTGGATAACTTCGAGAAGAATTTGGTGATTCAGTGATTACTTGTCATACACACATCATCAGTATATTTGAGAAAACTTTAAGTATTCATAATGGAATTCCTATGGAATTATTTTAATACTTAGATTCCCGTATTAAAGTAGCAACTTTATTTTTTAAGGTTTATTTTCTACTGCTGTAGCACTTGCATCCTGATTACCGTGGAAAAGACTGTGATGTTGTGAAACAATTTTTCTGCTGATCTCTCATTTTTTTCAAGTGAAAACATCCCTGTTCCATCATCCTTTTCCATAGATGTGCTTTAAGTAACATAACTGCCTCTACTTAACGAAATGCGAGGAAGCATGTATCCTCAAGGATACTGATTGAAGTTTTAGTCAAGCAGCACAGAGGTGAAAATCAGTCTTCCAGTCACTCAGGGAATTAACACAAAAAAGAAGTGTATTTTCAGTCCATTCCCAAGTGGCAGGTATCTCCATGCTGAATGTCTTGTGGGTCGTAGCTGCAGAGGTCATTGCTCACATGGGCAGTGAGGGTGGACCAGTTTTGCTCAAGAGGGCTGAGGAATTGCTTGCTGGAGAGTGTCTGTGGCTGCTGCTGGAACCGCAGGCTTGTATTTTCTAGCACTTTCACCCCAATTTAGGAAAGAATGCAAAACTCTCAGTGATGTGAAATACCGAGTCCCTAAGGTTTCCTTCTGCAGCCATCACTGTCTGAAGAGTCCAGTGGATTTCAGACTATTTGTGTAACTAAAGGTTGCCGCCACTGTGGCTTAATGACCTCTGAAATGGAATTTTTTTCCTTATAAAATGCTGTGCTGTATACTTAGGGTGTATAAGAATTACTGGGCTGTCGCTGAAACAGGAAATTTGATACACTTGCTAATACATACTGCTATCTTAATTCCTCTCTCGCACAAGTCTACTGCTAGATGTGTTCCATTATAGCTCATGGAAAAATGCCTGGTGTCTTGTTAGGCTCATTAATATGCAATATACATATATGTATTAAAATAAACAACATTTTAGACTGAAGCTAATAGTATTGCACAGGCAAAAGAAAGAAGCTGCTGCATATACGAAAGAATAATCCTTTACTTAATGGTAGTGGTTGTCATTACCAAAAAAAAAGGGTAGGAAGTATCACTTTGGGAACATAAAAACATCCAGAGGATTTTTAACCTTCAATGCCAAATGAAAAATAAATGAGTCCCCAAACCTGGCCTTCATTTATAGAAATTGTTAAAATAAAATAGTTTTTACTTTTCTCTCAAAGTAATCAGGGAAGATTGTTTTCTGTTGGATGAATCCACCAAATATTGAAACTTCGGGAACACATATGGCACATCAGCCACTTTTCTTGATGCTGCAGGTCTTTCTAGCAAATGTTTTTTCTGTTTTCAGTTTCTGTGTTTGATCAAATATTTACTATGTTACTTTTAAAAAGTTTGATGTATTGGTCAGTTCTATTTTGATCTATGTATTAGTGACTTTGCAAGAAGACATAGGTGTGGGTTTGTAGACTCTGCAGATGATAAAAAAGCGAGTGGTATTGCTGAGCCCAGGAGAGTGGGATAAATTTGTTACTGATCAGTAGAAATGCAAGGGAACAGAGCAAAGTTATGAGGAATGAGTTGCAAACTCCTCAGTTAGCTGTGTTGGAGAAAACTAAAGACAAATGAGTTCTTTGTCTACTGGCAAGCTAATGGTAAACTGTGAATGTGATTCAGCTGTGAATGATTATTTTAGGTACAGTAGGAGTGTTATTTGCAGTAGAGACAGGGAAGTATCAATGGTATTTTAATAGGCCTTGTTAGGATCTCATTTTGAGCATATGGTCACCTGTATTCACATAGAGAAATGAGAACAGTGATGCAAATGAGAGTGAGTGGGGTGGTGGAGGAAGCAGAAATGGCAGAAAAGGAGCATGTGCATTTTAGCAAAATATGGTAAGGGGTCTGGTAACAGTAAGAATGATTTCACCAGGAAATATGAGGGAGGGACAAAATTTATCAAAGTTGAAGCACAATATAAATATAAATAAATTTCTGCAAGTAGATTCCAAATACATTGGGGCTGGAAATTTGACTAACTTTCTAAGCATCTGGGGAATGGAGCTGTGGCATAAGCTTGCAAGCAACTGTTTGGGGACAGGGAACCTGAACAAGGTTTTCATTCTCCGCTTTAGGTTTATTAACTGTCAAGGTAAAAGCAGCCCCAGTCTGTGACTGAAGTTCTTCAGGGGCTCATTGCTGTCCCTCAGACGTTGCAGGGAGGTTGTAACACTGATTTTCCTGATGCTCCATGCATTGTATTTACACTGAATGGATCCCATGCCACGAAGTGTCTGAGGTGGCCTGTGGGAACCACTGTTCATCATTGAGTGTTTATTCTGCATTTTCCTCCCCATCCCCAAAGCATGAGTTTTTCCATGTACATGGAGGGAGGATGTTGGGTGGGTTGTAATGAGAAACCTCGGGTTCTTACCTGGTGTGTCTTCATCTTTTCATACTCACAGCTGGTTGAAATAATTTGCCTCAGTCCCACCGGCATTATTGAGAGAAATGAGAGGGCTTGGATCATCTGAGTGTTTTCATCAAGCAATTCTTCCATTCTTTCATACTCAAATGAGCCATAATGTGCAGGATATTGGCAAACATTTACTATGTAGC